CCCCAGTTGGGCAAGCAGCAGCAGGGCAAAGGTCCTGTTCCCAGTGCTGCTGCACCTGCATTCCTCCCTCACCCCACTCCCCAAGTTAATGCACCCTCTTGCCCCCGGCTGGGCAGCTTGCCCCATCCCATCCCTCCCCCAACCCCAGCTGACTTACCAGCTGGAGGCAGCTGTCAGCTGCCTGTTTAGTCTATGGCTGAATCTCCGAAGTGGCCGAATCTTTTCCGAAGCTATTCTGAATCGATTCAGATGCTTCGAATTGATTTGGAGCTTTTTTAATTAGTCTCCTGATTCGATTCAATTCAGATTCAGAGATTTGGTCCCTGAATCGGGCCGAATCTCGTCCAAATTGAATCAGCTACCAAAGCGTCTCAGAGCCCTAGTACTTATGGCTCTGTTTCCACACTGCCCTGTCCTTGTTATAGAAAACGTGGACTATCCAAACATAAGTATTGTTCCTTGGTTTCAGGATTTGCCCTTCAGGTCTGAAAACTAAAGGTTCAGAATTAAAAATGTATCTTTATTCGAGAGAGAACTCAAATTTATACACGGGACTGTATCTTTTAAAAGAATGCTGAAAACTTAATTTTTTTTTTCTTTTGTGGCTTCATAGCGTACTTCTGGCTAGCCTGTATTTAAAAAAAAAAATACAAAACAAACAAAAACAGGCACAAAGAAGCCAACAACTCTGCTGTAAGTTTTTAAGTCTTTTTTGCAGGGATGATCATTGGCCAGTGAGGCAGAAAGTTCAGTTCTGATTTGCTTGGCAATATGGCTAAAAGTTTTTTAGTTGGAAGCTCCCTTTTCTACCATTGTTTTGGCAGACTGATGGCATACCAAAAAAATAAATGGTTTCGAGACTCATTTTACTATTCTAAGTAATATTTTAACTGATTGGTGTAGGTGCTGACTACATGAGTTGGGTGAGGTGTTAGTGATATGCTTAAAGATTATCTGACTATAAATATTTGACAAGATTAATTCAGAAGGAAAATTCTGTGCTTTTAGAAATTTCGAAGTGTGCAAGTGTGAGCGAGAATGTGTACACCACATAAATATAATGTGCCATTTAGTTTGGGAAACTCTTCTCTTTTTCTTATCACTACCATCGTATTATTCCCCATTTTCTATGGTCATATAATGTTTTGCAGGTATCAATGATTACTGATTTTAATCGTATTTAACTCTTCAGATCATACCTCACTCCTGTTCGGGATGAAGAGTCTGAGTCCCAAAGAAAAGCTAGATCCAGGCAAGCAAGACAGTCCAGAAGATCTACACAGGTACATCTTGGTTGTTTTTCCTTTTATAAAAACCTAAATTGGGGCCAAACTCCTGGGTACAGTGATATCTAATATGTCTAATTTATCTAATATAATGAGTGTTCTTCCCACTATAAATCAAATAATTGACAAAATCAGTTTTTTTCTCCTCCCCAAAAAGGTCAGTAGAAAAGATGGGCCTTCCATTTATGCATTGAAGGTTAACCTCTGTACTCTATTAGAGACTGGATTTAAGTGAATTCTAAAATAGAAATGATTTTTCAAATAATTGCCCAGAGCCCATTCCTGGCAATTCGATGACTCTTACTCCCTGAGCCTTTAACAGAAGACTTGGCAAAGCAGTACCTGTACAGTGCTCTCTGGCCTGGCCTGGCCTCCCCATTTGGGTGGGGGCAGTGTTCACTTCCTACTCCTTAGTACTCTGAGTTGTCTAGCTCAAGTGGAGCATTTGCTATACCATGTTAGCAGGCAGCATTTTTCCCTACTGTAACAGTTGTACCCTTTTTCTTCCCAACAACAGTAAGTTATATTTCCTGACGCCTTTGCCTAATTTTGTTTTCTTGCGCTCTTCCCTACA